TCAACAAGATCCAAAACGTTGAGATAATACAAAGTATCTTCTCTGACCACAACGCCATCACGGTAGAAGTTAACAGCAGGAAGAGCAAAGAAAAAAAAAATCAGTTACATGTAAACTGAATAACACCCTGCTTACACATCACTGGGTAATAGAAGAAATCAGAGATCGAATCAAAAAATTCCTAGAACTAAATGAGAATGAAAACACATCATAGCAAAACCTTTGGGACACAGCAAAGGCAGTCCTCAGAGGACAATTTATAGCAATAGATACACACATCAAAAAAGAAGAAAGGGACAAAATCAAAACATTAACTACAGAACTCCAACAAACAGAAAGAGAACAGCAAAAAAGTCCACAGTCACTAGAAAAAAGGAAATAATAAAGATCAGAGCAGAAATAAATGAAGATACTAGTTTATTAAACTCTCTAAAAAATCAATAAATTCAAGCAAATATGAGCTGTCATCACCCTGCTTCCAAGTAAACCAAAGGTCTAGAGATACATACATTCTTGGGCAAACTCCTGCAGTATTCCAGATTCATTCTTCAATCCAGCTCAAGCTGCAGAGAGCCTTCCATGATCCCTCTTAGTTCACTTGGAGAGAGACTATTTCTCCTAATAGCTTAAGTAGGTTAATTTAGGCTATAAGTCCAGTCAGTATACAGAAAAAGAGACCTGGTGAGCAGTCATGTGAAACAGATTTGACAGACCACATGCTACAAACTAGGGACACCAAACCCAGTTTTGTACCAGAAACACCCAAGGAGATGGTTTAAAAAAAACAGATGGGCTGGTCCCTTCCCCTCAGAGGGGATACACCTGATACTCAACTAGGTTTAAGAAAAATTGCCATAAAACATCTCTACTTTCATATGTATCAGCAAATCGATTGCCTAAATAACACTGCATTAGTATTTGACCATTGCAGAATGAAAATGTAAAACTGGAACTACAAACTGGAGGATGTGCAAATATGACATGTGCCTTAAATGAAGAAGCTTGATATGTTTCACAAGAAGGACAGCAATTTCAACTGCAATTCTGAAAATGTGGCTCTCACCATAGGAGGGTCCTGGCTCCCAAAGGTGGAGATGTAGACTATGGACTTGTATTCTCCAGTGACCTGGGTCTCCAGGGCCAGAGGTATGTCCACAATGCTGTGGGGAGGGATGACCCCACAGGGGCTGGGGCTTGAAAGAAGAACAGCAGGTACATCCTCATATACCTGGTGGAAGAGAAAATCCCAAGGGATAATCAAGCCCAAGGCATGGTATGAAATAAATACATTAAGTTATTTTGAAGCAAGTGTTGTCCTGAGTCTAAGGAGGTTCTTTAGAAAGGCATCACTGTTCAAACAAGAAAATAGGGATGAGCACTCCAATTCAGCCAGAAGAAAGTTTGGTTAAATGGAGAGTGCATAAGGTCCCAAACCCAAAGTTCACAACATAGCAACATGTATAAAGTATCCACAACATGAATTAGTTCAAGACAATAGCTTCCCACTACGGAATTCCTTCACACTTTATTCCCACCTCTCCCCCCGACCACCCCCCCCATTCCTTAGCCTTCCATCAATAGAGGCCCGGTATTTCCTGAACACATTACACTGCTTCCCACCTCCAACCCTTTACACATGTGGTTACCCTTCCTGGAACGCTGTTTCAACCTACCTGGCACACTCATCTTCAATTACCCTGCTCCCACCCAGGTATCTCCAGGGCTCTGGGGTGGGGGCTTTTCCTCTGTCCCCAGGGAGCATCCCATGCAGTCCTTTTCCACAGCACACACTGTGCAGCATTGCAACTGTCTATTTGTCTATCTTCCAGGGGCTGTCAACTTCTTGGGGCATGACTGGGCCTCTCCTCCCTACATGCCCACTTACTGGCCCAAAGTAGATGTTGAATACATTTTTTTAATTGAGGTGAGAGTCATCTAACATAAAATCAACCATTTTAAAGTGAATAATTCAGTGGTACTTAGCACATTCACAATGTTGTGCAACTTCTACCTCCATCTAGTTCCGGAACATTATCACCCCAAAAGGAAACCTAATACCCACTAAGCAGTTTCTCTGTATTCCTCCCTCCCCCCAGCCCCTGGCAACCACCAATCTGCATTCTCGCTACGGATTTAACTATTCCGGATATTTCATATAAATGGAATCATACACTATATGGTCTTTTATGACTGGCTTTTTTCATTTAGCATAATATTTTCAAGGTTCATCCATGTTGTATCAGTATTTCATTCCTTTTTATGGCCGAATAATATTTCATCGTATGGACATACCACATTTTGATTATCCATTCATCAGCAGATGAACATCAAGGTTGTTTCCATCTTTGGCTATTGTGAATAGTGCTGTTATGAACATTCATGTACATATATAAATACATGCTTTTTAAATGGGGGAATGAATGAATGAATGTAGTTCAGTACTTACCAACGTGTGCTCCTCAGCACCCTGTTCTACAGCATATTACTAGCTTTTATGCAACAACAACAACAATAATGATCCCACAGGGGGTGGGGTTTGCATTTGCTGCTCATGTGACTTGAATTTCCAGATGAACAGATCACCGTTCTGGTTACTCTGAACATGATTGATTTTTGTCAAGTTCTCATTTAAAACAAAAAGCACAATGACAAGATCTGAAGACAAAGTTCTGGCTGTGCTTTGACTGGTCGTTATGTCCTTACTTTAGTTGAACCTATATCTGTTCTGTGGCCTCCTGGGGCCCCTGTACTGCTCTTTTAACTCATATTGAACTTGTAGCCACATAAAACCTCCATTTGATTTTATGGAATGAATTATTATTAGAGTACTGCACTTATAACTGAGTTATAAACCAAAATACACTCTTGGTAAACTGCATCTCATTAGTAACTTCCATTACTCTCATCTGTACAGATCTCTTTGAATCTTTCATCTATACTTGCTTAACTTTTTAGTCTCCCTAACTAGCTAGGTGTTGTGGCATACAGACAGACAAATTTCATAAAACATTAAGGTACAATTCCTCTTACCTCATTCTTCTAGCCTTCTGGTCCCACAAGTCCACTGATAAATATTGCATCACTGTATCTCAGTGATGCTGTTCAAGTCACAGCTGTGGACATAAGTGAACACTCCTAGCTCTACCTCATTCTCCATGCACGGTTAACTCCCAGGCAATTATCTGCAGGTGTAACTTTTAGATGTTGGCTTAATCAACCCTTTTGCTTCTTTATCAAGGGCAATTTCCCTGGGAAATGAACAACTGTTGGCAGCTGCTCATGCATGCAGATGGCAATCCAGCTGTGGTTGTATAACATCCCAAGACTATCCGAGGGTTAAAAAGCAGAATCACATAAGGTCATGTGTTCAGGAATATGGCTCTTTAGGAGAATTTCTCTTTCTCATCAAGTGACTCCAACTGTTGAAAAATTAACCCTGACAAAAGATAAAGTAACTTACCTGAGGCAGAACTTCGTAGCTTCCTGGGAGGTCATCATTATTGACAAGCTGGAGCGTTTTCTCATATGGGTACTTCAGGAAGCAGCGCCCAAAGTCCACCTCTGTATTAACCAGATGGAGGGTAGGTACAACACACCTGCTTGAAGGAGACCATTTAACAATTCAAAAGGATAGAGAGCTTGATTACATATAGAGAACGCAGAGTCCCAAATTAAACACATTTATCATTGTCACATAGTCGTTTTTCTCGAATAACTACATTAATCATTTTCAAATCTTCTCCCCTGTCACCCCTCTCCCTTAGCCCCCAGTCACCACTCTTTAATAAAAAAAAAAGGACTAGAAGCAAGACTCCTTAAACAGCTGTCTTCTGTGGGTAATGACTAATATTTCCATTGTTGTTGTTGTTTTTGTATTTGGCCTTCCTTTGGCAAGGGGTCCCCATGGTGCAAGTTCCTTAGGGTAGTGGATCTGTTCCCATGTCAAACAGGGCCAGTGCCACCAGCATGGGGTCCTAAGTAGCTGTGCCACTTTGGACCACTCAGAAAGACCCCCAAGGACTAGCAATAGTTCACACCATCTAAATAATGGTAATAATTCTAATTCCTATGCAGAACAGCTGTCTTGGATGAAAAGACACAGGCAGCTGCTCACCCCAGAACTGGCACTGTGACAGTGGCTCTTAATACTGAGGGGGTACTGTGGGAGGACAGGGAAGGGAACAAATGAATCCCTGTGTGTAAAGCTGGTTTATTATTGGTGACTTCGGTTTTATTTTGTGGCTGTGACTCTCAATGTGTAACCTGCCCTCCTACATTGTCATGATACAGTGTGCAATGGTTAAAAGCACTGACTTTTCAACTAGACAGAGCCAGGTTCAAATGCTGGTGTCACTAAGTACAACCTGTGTGACCCTGGACAAGTTACTTTCCCTCTTTGAGTTCCATTTTCCTCATACGCAAAATGAAGGTAATAACACTCTTAGGGTTGTCATGGGAAATACAGGAGATAACGTAAAGAAAGGGTGTAGTACAGCAACGTATGAGTGCTCAGTAGGAAGCAGTCTAGTAAGGGGCACAGCAAGCTGCCACTGCTCACTCTTTGGGGAGAGCTACTTTAGGATGCAAATTCTGAAAGCTACTCTTCTATTGAGAGTCAGCAAGCAGTTCCTCCAGATTACATCAAAAGTAATGACATGAAAGAGTCTCTCTTCAACCCCAAAGTTTGCATTTCCCATTTAGCATGGGTTGAAGGGTCTACTTTCAGCTAGAACGAAAGTTGCTGGTTGACCCAATAACTTTCTTAAAGCTACCCTTTTACTGCCCAAAATGCTGTGCCTGAGAGGGTTTATAGTATTTGATTTGGGTCACAGGGTATATATTGGTAGGAAACTCACAGACTCTAAAAACCTATTTTTTTTTTTTTTTTTAATTCAGGATTTCCAATTGATAGCTGTAGGGGGAAAGACCCAAAAAATATGAGAATAAACTCACATGGAAAAAAGAATGAAAGACTACACAAAAAGGCAAACTTGGGTATACAGAGAACCAGATGAAAGAGTTTTTGCTATTTTTAAACACACACACGCACACACACAAATCAGTGAGGTCTTTGGAAGTAATACTAAGTGGCAAGTCACTGGGGTTCCCTCTGGGTAAAGGGAACCCTAATCAAAGATCTTTTAGGGCTGCTATCTGACCTCATCCAAGCCTAAGGCACATGAAATGGTACTAGCTATTATCTCCCTACCAACCAGCACATCTGCACCTTCTTTAAGGTACGTCTTCATGAGATTCATGGGAGACCTAAATTCTAAGGATTGACATATTAGCATTATCAGAATTTTACTGTCATTTTCCCTGTGTCCCATAGACAGAATTTTCATATACATACTCTACAGTCCAGATATGGACATTGTTTGCTTTGGGAAGAGTGTGGCCCCAGGATGTTATTTGGGATCACTGTTACCATCAGTAGATAATACCACCACCCTCATCACCATCCTCAGAAAGCCTCTTTAACTTAGTCAGGGAGACACAGTCAATAAACGACAGAGCCATGGTTTTAGTCTGACTCTTTAACAAGTCCATTGCTAGCTCTACAAAAAAAAAAAAGAGAAATGGTGATGGTTCTGAGGAGTTTACATTGTTAGAGATGAGTCTCATTTTGGGGGCCCACTCACTTCCTGCAATTCAAGTCATAGTGACAGCATCTGGGAGCAGGATCTTTTGCTAACAGATCATCCCCGATAGGGACTGAGAGCTCACTACATCTCCCTGCTGCATGACTCTGGGGTACTATATTTAAAGATCAAAATAAGAACCTGCAACTGCTTACCTCTTCCTGCTAAAACTTCTCTGTTACATACTCTGAAAGTTAGACTCATTAAAGAGCACTATTATTCTTAACACTCTGTAAAACACATACATCCTTGGTGAAGAATAAGACAGTACACAATACTGGGGAAGTTAGCACAACTTGACCAAGGGAAGGTCATGGAAGCTTCATAGACACACCCAAACTTCCCGAGGGACCGAACTACTGGGCTGAGGGCTGGGGACCAAGGTCTTGGGGGACATCTAGCTCAACTGGCATAACATACTTTAGAAAGAAAATCCTACTTTGGTGAGTAGCATTTGGGGTCTTAAAAGCTTGTAAGCGGCCATCTAAGACACCCTACTGGTCCCACCTTGTCTGGAGCAAGGGAGAATGAAGAAAACCAAAGACACAAGGGAAAGATTAGTCCAAAAGACTAATAGACCACAACTACCACAGCCTCCACCAGACTGAGTCCAGTACAACTAGGTGATGCCAGACTACCACCACCGACTGCTTTCACAAGGATCACAATAGAGGGTCCTGGACAGAGCTAGAGAAAAATGTAGAACAAAATTTTAACTCCCAAAAAAAGACCAGACTTCCTGGTCTGACAGACTGCAGAAACCCTGAGAGTATGGCCCCTGGATACCCTTTTAACTCAGTACTGAAGTTGCTCCTAAGGTTTACCCTTCAGCCAAAGATTAGACAGGCCCATAAAATAAAATGAGACTAAGTGGGCACACCAGCCCAGGGGCAAGGATGAGAAGGCAGGAGGGGACAGGAAAGCTGGCAATGGGGAACCCAAGGTCGAGAAGGGGGGAGTGTTGACATGTCGTGGGGTTGGCAACCAATGTCACAAAACAATATGTGTATTAATTATTTAATGAGAAACTAACTTGCTCTGTGAACTTTCATCTAAAGTACAAAAAAGAAAAAACAAAAGCAAAAACAAAACATACACCCCTTCTCTTATCTCTACCAAAAGTGCTTTAGTAACGCTTGCTGTTTTAAAGCTTTGTCATTTCATTATCAGATTCAGCTTGTTTCCAAGAATGCAGAACAAATCTAATGTGAACTGGTTGGTAGGCTGCTGCCTTATGGAGAGGCAGCCTATTACTGGTGGCTCCGAGACTCCAGAAGAGAGAAAGCAGGTGAGTCTGATACCTTGCTGTAATTAAGAGCGCCAGCACCTCTTCTCCAATGCCCTCCACGTCTACCACCAGGGCCAGTTCATATTTCTGCACAGTGTTGGAGCATAAGGTCACCTGGAAAAAAAAAAAAAAGGTGAAAAGTTGCTCATCTAAAAAGGCCAGCTCTCTCTTGTACACAGAAGAGAAAGGAGCCAGGGGAAGACTACACAGATCAGTGTGATTTCTAAGTGCTTTATTGGACATACAGCATTTTACATTGTTAGTTGAACAAGTTACATTTCGGGGTGAGGGCATGCTGAGTTTCTTTAAAGGCGAGTTTAGAAACTAAATAGCTTTTAGTACAATAGGCTTGCTCATTTCTGGGGAGGTTGTATCAAAGAAGCCAGGTACCTGCATGAAGGGAAAAACGCAATAGCAAACCAATTTCAATAACTGCAATTTATATTGTTTCCTAACATCTTTGTACTATGTGAATTAGAACATTCAATATGCTGATAAAAACTACCGCTAAATTTATCTTATAGCAAAATAAAAGAACATAACCACTTGACTTCCAGAAAATTGAATAGAAGGACTAGGAGATCAATTATATAGCCTTTGTTTTACTCAAAATCTAACCCTGACCCCAAGTGTTCATTATTAGAATAGAGACTGGTAAGCTCCAAAGAAAGGTCTGTCTAAGGCAATATCTGACCAGAACATAGTTTTTATTTGCTGTTGTGAAATTTTACATTTAGGCTTTTGAAAGCCTTGTTACAATTTTTAATTGCTTTAAAATGATTTGTACTGGAGGAGATACTTGTAATTCCAGAAAACAGCTTCTGGCATGGGTTAAGGCTTTTCTGTCTATAAATTATGTATCAGATACTAATTAAAATTTTTTCAGGTTGCAAAGGGAATCACTGGATGCAAATCTGAGTCAACACAGACCTGGTTAAAGTACAGATCAGGAGGGAAAGCAGAAGCTTGGAGAAAGCTTTTCTGATTATAAAGGAAAAATAAAGTGAAGATGGAATCATTGATCTGGAAAGAAAACTTGTTAGATTTGGAGAGAAGCTGCTGCGCCAGCGTAGAGATTCCCAATGCACTTGTAACCTCTTGTTGTTCATATTTCTTTCTATGTTTAGAAGGCAGAAAAGCAAGAGGTTCTGGCCAAAAGCTGCTAGAGAGATGCTATGTCTTCTATAAATCTTCCTGTGCTATTTGGGAGAGGCAAAAAAAGAAAAGGAAAACTAGGTAACATAAAGGCTGAATATTACTAAGTAAAAAAATAATAATTCCATTGCAGAAGCTCTTCTCACCATGAAAGTCACACTTAGCAACTTTGGGAAGTTATAATGATATATAATATCAAACCTCACTGGACCTGTGGAGAAGCCCATGGAAGAGCAGAGAACACCCAGAGGGAGTTAGGATGAGTAGATTCATGGTGAGATGTTATGAAACATTTAAAATAAATTCTGGGGATAAAACAATAGTCAGATAACTATTCAATGATAATGACTAAAGAGAAAATTATCAGCCTTAGCTATGAACTCTTATCTTTTTTTTTTCTTTCCCAAACCAAAAAACAAAAGAAAACAAAAACCAAACCTGTTGCCATTGCATTGCGATTCTGACTCATAGCGACCCTATAGAACAGAGCAGAACTGCCCCATAGGGTTTCCAAGGAGCAGCTGGTGGATTCGAACTGCTGACCTCTTGGTTGGCAGCTGAGCTCTTAATCACTGAGCTGCTAGGGCTCCTTTTCTTTTCCAGAGGGTACAAAATTGGTTCAATTTACTGTAGCCTTCAATATTGCTAGACCTAGCTACTAGAAGAAGCAAAAATAAGTGAAGGGAGACAGCTAAAACCTTACTGAATTAACTGGGAAATTATTTTGCTGGGGTCACCACCAGGCCATAGCTACAGCACCCCTGCCCTGATTTCAGACAGAGCACAGAAGGGTGAATGAACAGCCTCCTCACTACTATTCCTGTAGACCTAAATATAAATCGCTGTTAGCAACATCACATTTGTGTTGGCCTTGAAGCCCAGACTCACATTAAAAATCTGAATAAATCAGATTTCATCTGTGGCATAAATCTGGACATTGATTGGTATAAAGTTTTTGAGTCTGAAGGAAAGGAGAACCTAATTCTCAATGAGTTCTTACATCTTTTTATATTAGTACTGACTGAGGGGTGTATGTTGGTATAGAGCAGTGGTTTCACTAGAAATAAGTAGAATCCATATTCTGGTGAAAGCAAGGCATCTAGATTGACGTAAATCCACTGGTGCAGTATGAATTTGTTTGCCCAACATATTCGTATCTGGGTTCTTTTGCTGCCTAATTTATTTAATCTTATAGGCCTACTTTTCCTTTTCTACATCAGTTATCAGGCACTCCCTTCCAACGACACTGAGCACAACAGAGGAAACCCTAGATATGGTCCAAATAGTTATTTGGGAGTTCAAGAGCTTGGTCATGTGTGCTGGGGGTTTCTGAACTTTACCCGAATAGCAGCAAATCCCTGGGGGCGAATGGTGCCACAGCTAGGTGTGACGGTGAATTCTCTTGGTTTCACTGCTGGTATTTCTTCCTTGTTCCAAGATGTTTTTTTATTGTTTGAATTCTGCTCACAAGTTGAAATGCTTTTATTTCCAAGGCCATCCCCCGGGACACGCAGTTTGAAGGTCATGGGGACCAAGGAGGTATTATTGAGGGAACAAATCAAGGTGTGAGGAAACCCTAGAAAACAAAATAGGAAGTGAGAGATAAAAGACCCACAATGTTCTCCTCCCTTGACCCTAGGACTTCCCCTGTTGTAGTTAGTTGCTGTCTAGTCAATTCCAACTCATGGTGACCCCATGTATGCAGAGTAGAACTGCTCTATAGGGTTTTCAAGGCTATGATCTTTTGGAAGCAGATCACCAGGCCTGTCTTCCGAGGTGCCTCTGGGTGGGTTAGAACCTTTTAGCTAGTTAGTAGTCAAGCATTTAACCATTTGCACCCCCAGAGCCTCCTATACTACCTCCCCTAGCAACTACCAAACCTCTTGAATGAATTGTTTATGCAGTTCATCACTATTTCCTTAATTCCAACTCACGCTAAATATTGTTTTCAATCACACAATCAGTAAATACATTTTCATTCATTCATTCAATAAATATTTATCATGCATTTATTATGAGGCAGGTCAAACAGTAGATACAAAACCAACCCCTGAATTGTCAAGAGGTATCCTTTGTTATCAGTTTGCTGAGTAGCCTTCCACAAGTATATTCTGCATTTTTTTTTTGCATGAAAATAGAGATTTTTTTTTTCCAAAAAATGGAATCATGCTTGCTCTTTTTATTTGCCAATGTGTGAAAGAAGACGCTTGCATGGTTTTGTCCGCTGTATGACCCAGAGTCTGCCAAGACATTATATAACTCATCCCGGACCTGCCTGAAGATCATGCTCTCAGGGTCAATGACGCAAAATTGAGTAATAGCTTCTCCCAAGGGCGACTTTACGATCTGCCTTTGAACCAGCCAGACACCAACACACAGACTTTTACCTCACTTAGACAAAGCTGCTTTTTCGTGTTATATCTAGCCCTCTTACATTTAGTTCACTGAGACTCATGTTCCTTTCTTAAGAGATGTGGATCTTCCTTGCCTGGCAAGCACTACACTCAGTTCTATTTTTGGGTTACCTATGTGGTCATTTTATATGCTACCACTTTCAAGAACAAGAATTATCTATAACCATAGGAAGACAAAAATGAATATTTCTACTGCATGCAAGCACCACTATTTCTTCCTTGAACCCTGTTGCACTAAAATACAATCAGTCTCTCAAAGTCATTACTATGTTACTTCAGTAGGTATTTTGAATCAGTCTGCTTTCCTCCCCATGTCTGAGCCTTTGTCGATACATTAGGACTAACAGAAGAAACATGTTCATGTTTCCTTTGTGATATCATGCCTGCCGTCCTACTTGGTGGACTCCCTGGGTGGTGCAAACAGTTGACGCATTCACTTGCTAACTGAAAGGCTGGAGGTTCAAATCTACCCAGAGGTACCTCAGAATAAAGGCCTGGCTATCTACTTCCAAAAAACAGAGCACAGTTCTACTCTGACATACATGTAGTTGCAATGAGTTGGAGTCGACGCAGTGACATGTGCTTTATCCTACTTGGCAGAAACCTTTTAAGGAAAAGAAACTGTCAGAGTAAGTGCTCTTGAAGGGTCATTCTTGGAAATTTCAGAGGAACTGGTAAAAAGTCAGTTTCATAATAATGTACTTGCTACATTTGACTTTTCTGAACTTGCCCAACAATGACTCTTGAAACTGTAGATCCCTTACCCTAATTTTACCTGATCATTTATGGGCTAAATTCTCTACTAATGTAAGGTATACATACTATGGGAATGGATCAAAGACTCAGATCATATCTTCCAAACCATTGCCCAGACTACTTCCTTGAAGCGAGAAGTTTTTCATAGAATAAAGTCAATTATAACTTCCTGTCTGGAAAAATTCCTTTTACCAGTACGTGGAACACCCCATGTTGTCAAGAAGCCTAAATGGGAGGGATATTGGTTTGCTAAAGACTGAAAGATCATTAATACGAATGCTTTTCCTAGGTTTCTGGTTGCACCAAATCCTGATACTATTCTATCTACAGTTCCACCTGAAAGCAAGTGCTTTACAGTTGTAAACTTACATGCTGCTCTCTTTAACATCTAGTAGATATAAAGTCAGCGTTTATTTGCCTTTTCTTGGAATAATTAATAATACATTTGGACAGAAGCACCTTCACACTTCTCCCAGTATTTTACATAGTAATTTAAAAGACAAAACCTTCTCAAGAGGTTTAATTCTCATTCAATATGTATATGTTCACCTGATCTAGAAAGTCCCCTAGGAAACTTCTTTAAAAAATTGGTGGCTAAAGATCATAAGGCTGCAAAAGAAAAATTACAATTTTGTTAAAAGATGGTGTGATCCTGTAACCTTAGTTATTTAACTGTTCCAAGGCCCAGGTCTCCCATCTCTAAAATGGGATATTAAATAGTACCTACCTCACAGGATTGCTAAAAAGTTTAAATGTTGTAATGCATTTAGCAGTGACTGGAACAAAATGGGAGCTTCTGCAGCTACTGCTGCTACTGTTGTTATCATTTTTATTATTGGGGAAGCTTGTTGTTAGGTGTCGTCGAGTCGGTTCCGACTCATCATATGTACAATAGAAAGAAACACTGCCCTGTCCTGTGCCATCCTTACAATCGTTGCTGTGTTTGAGTCCATTGTTGCAGCCACTGTATCAGTCTATCTCATTGAGGGTCATTCTATTTTTGCTGACCCTCTACTTTACCAAGCATGGGGAAGCTGGCTCAGGGAAGTAAATGAGTAAGAAGACAATGTAAAAATGTAGCAGAGCCTTCAATTTGGAGTGACAGAACACCTGAATCAACCTACCACTGAGTTCACTTTAAATTTGAAAACTACCTTAATTAATAACCCTTTGGTCAGAGATGCTAATTTCTTTTCATCTCTCTGCAGCCAGACTGGCAAATAATCTGCATATAAGTAGAATGTCCAGAATGTTCAGAGAGTAGAGTGAAGCGTAAGTCTCTCTGTTGTTTCACTGCTGGAAGAGGGGGAGACAGCCACGGCCTGACAGCTATTTGTGCCCAGGACACAGTTACAACTTTCACATATAAACTAGAAAATGGCACTGAAATGCCACTGCCACAGAGGAAGGAAAGAACAATTCTAGACCCTCTTAACACTGCCAATAAAAACAGTGAGAAGTTTTTTGCAAACCTCCCTCCTCCCACCTAGACAGAAAAGTAATTCCACCCAATTTCTAATTTAAAATGAAAAGATACTCACCAAAGGAAACATCACCAAAATTCAGAGCAGGAACATTAAAATGGAAGGTAGGTCCAATGACACAGCCTCTGGAATTAGGGATACAAATTCAGGGAGTGAGGAGAGAATCGAGTGAATCCGGGGTCACAAACAGGAACCGGAAAGAAGCTAAGCACTGAAAACCATAATTTGGCATTAAATCAATTATAGAATCTAGGACTTAAAGACCTGTGATGATGCCACTGGGTTTTGGCAAAAGATACTGTGGTTAACTTACCTCCCCCCTCCATTCTAAGGATGAATGGGGTGGAAGGCAGAGCAGCCATCTCACCTAATGGCACAAAATGATGTTATTTCGGATGAGACATATATCATAAAAACTTATTAACTTGGGCAAGAAATAAAAATTATAGGTCTAATCATCTAATACACATCAAAGACTTCTGATAACACCAGTAATTCCTGGACCATACTTTCATAATAACTGTTTTAATCCAGTTCCTGCTACCAACTAGCTGTGATCTTGGCCAGTCATTTTACCTCTATAGGCCTCAGTCTTTTTCCCTCACGTATAAAACAGGCGATGGGACTAGGTGACCTTTACAGACCCTTTGCTCTAAATGTTGATTTATTTCTCTCTCAGTGCAGAGCCTCATGCTCTTGGAGTGATTACTGTAAAATAAATAATAGAGATATTCCACAACTTCTAACTGACTTCAGGTGTCCAAGTTCCAATCCCTGGAATATCCCTGGAACCTGTGAATATGTCAGGTTACATGGAAAAGATGAATTCAGGTAGAAGGTGGAATCAAGATTGCTAATTATCTGACTTTAAGGAGAGTACCCTCCATTATCCAGGTGGGACCAAAGTAATCAAAAGGGTCCTTAAATGTGGAAAAGGAAGACAGAAGAGGAGATCAGAGTGATGTAATGTGAGAAGGATTTCACCCATCATTGCTGGCTTTGAAGATAGAGGAAGGGGACCAGGAGCCAAAGAATGTGGGTAGCCTAGACGGAAAAGGCAAGGAAATGGATTCTCCTCTAGAGCCTCCAGAAAGGAATATGGCCCCTGCTGACATCTTGATTTTAGCCCAGTGAATATCTGTGTCCAACTTCTGATCTTTAGAACTGTAAAATAGTAAATTTGTCCTTTTTTTAGCTACTAAGTTTGTGGTAATTTGTTACAGCAGCAACAGAAAACTAATACATCAAGTATTTGTTTAATCTCATTTATCTTCAGAGTAATTATTTTTCTCCACTATTTATGTCTTTTAAAATATTTAGACCAGAGGTAAAAAACGAAATAATCTCCCATCTGTGTGCCAAAGCTTTAAGAAGTTATGGAACCACAGAAAACATGCTAAAAATGAATCTCCTAATTCACAAAGCTCCAGATGTTGGTGGTGTGGGTGTATTCACAGTGCACTGAATGCACTGGTTCCCTGGTGATGTTTCCGGCTGCTACAGATCTGACCATAATGTGGAGAGAGGCTGTTGCAAGCCTGGGAGGAGCAATCAATGCAAAGGCTCAATGCAACAAGCTTCAATTCCAAAAGACTTTCGAATGACCATCCATTCTATTTTGTGTTAATGATCTAAAGTGGTTTCAAAAGGAGTGGCTGTCACTCAGCAAGGAACTGGGATCCAGTTGAGAGTGAAGTCAAGGTAGCATACAGGTGAGATGCTTGATTTGTTAAAAGAATCTTTTGGGGGCAAAAATAATAGATCAAAAGTGTCTGAAATGCACAAGTCTAAAGCAAGTAGGAAAGAAGCTCACAAAATTGCACAAAGCAGTCATTTAATCAGCACAGAAATGGAAAGAATCAGAGATGAATCACATTTGTTCAAAGGCACATTTAACTGTGGGAATTGTGACTGCATAATAACATCTAGACTTAGATACAATTCGATTAATTTTAACAGAGACTCTGAATATTATGACAGCCTCTGTCAAGACTGTGCCAGACACCAACACAATGGTCAGTTAAATTTATCATTTTAAAGACTATGAGGTAAAATGATTGCATTATTACATGTTAAGTAAAATGAGTTGAATTAAAAATAAACCTATGGTATAGTTAAAACTTTATAAAATTATGGATGTCAAAATAGAATGGAAAAAAGCTGCTTGTGTAATTTAAAAAAATAATCCCATCAATTTTACAGTGTTATTGAGTCACTTAAAAGACTGTGTCATTTAACTGGAGAAATAAATAAATAGAAACACTGGAAATATTACATTTTTCTGATATTTCAAGGACTATTAGTCAAAATTATGTACTATTGAAAAAACAGTAACTGACAATAAAAAAATAACAAACAAAATGCCAGAATCCATAATATTAACCTTATGGAGATTTCTTGGGCCAAATAAAGTGTTCCCAACAAAGCCTCAAGTAAAGTCAGTGTTAACCTGTGGAACTGGGAACAGATGATACATTATACACACATTTTCACCATTTATGACTAGACATTAATTCTTGAAAATAGATATTTACCAGGTTTTCAAAATTATTATTTGTGGTTTGAAGTGCTAGAACACTTGTGGACAGGTGAAACACTGAGCTTTAAAGAAGTAAAATGGGGAAAGAAATTTACACAAGTGTATTTCTCTTCCCCAAGCATCTGTCAGTTTGTAGTACTGTGGTAGCTTATGTGTTGCTATGATGCTGAAAGCTATGCCGCTGGTATTCAAATATCAGCAGGGTCATTCATGGTGGACAGGTTTCAGCTAGGCTTCCAGACTAAGATACACTAGGAAAAAGGATCTGGCAGTCTTCTGAAAAAAATCAGCCAGTTTTCACGAGCCCCTCAGGTTGGAAGGCACTCAAAATATGACTGGGGAAGAGCTGTTCCTCAAAGCAGAGTCGACCTTAATGACACGGATGGAGTCAAGCTCTTGGGACCTTCATTTGCTGATGTGGCATGACTCAAAATGAGAACAGCTGCAAATATCCATTAATAATAGGAACGTGTAATGTACAAAGTATGAATCTACGAAAATTGGAAATCGTCAAAAATGAAATGGAATGCATTAACATTGATATCTTAGGAATTAATGAGCTGAAATGGACTGGTATTGTCCATTTTGAATTGGACAATCATATGGTCTGCTATGCCAGGAATGACAAACTGAAGAGGAATGGTATTGTGTTCATTGTCAAAAACAACATTTCAAGATCTATCCTGAAGTACAATGCTGTTAGTGATAGGATAATATCCATATGCCCACAAGGACAACCAGTTAATACGACTATTATTCAAATTTACATACCAACCACTAAGGCCAAGGATGAAGAAACTGAAGATTTTTACCAACTTCTGTAGCCTGAAATTGACCAAACATGCAGTTGAGATGCATTGTTAATTACTGGTCAGAGAAATGCAAAAGTCGGAAACGAAGAAGGATCCGTAGTTGGAAAATACAGCCTTGGTGATACAAATGATGCTGGAGGTCCTATGATACAATTTTGCAAGACCAACAACTTCTTCATTGCAAATTCAACAACATAAACTGTGTCTATACACGTGGCCCCACAGGATGGAATACACAGGAAAAAAATCCACTACAACTGTGAACAGAAACAATGGAAAAGCTCAATATCATCAATCAGAACAAGGCCAGGGGCCAACTGAGAAAGAGATCATCAATTGCTCATATGCAAGTTCAAGCTGAAGCTGAAAAAAATTAGAACAAGTCTGAGAGAGCTAAAGTATGACCTTGAGTATATCCCACCTGAATTTAGAGACCATCTCAAAAATAGATTTGATGCATTGAACACTAATGACTGAAGACCAGATAAGTTGTGGAATGACATCAAGGACATCATATATGAAGAAAGCAAGAGGTCATTAAAAAGTCAAGAAAGAAAGAAAAGACCAAAATGGATGATAGAAGAGACTCAGAAACTTGCTCTTGAATGTTGAGTAGCTAAACTGAATGGAAGAAATGATGAAGTAAAAGAGCTAAACAGAAGATTTCAAAGGGTGGCTCAAGAAGACAAAATAAAGTATCATAATGACATGTACAAAAACCTGGAGTTAGACAACTAAAAGGGAAGCACATGCTTGGCATTTCTCAAGCTGAAAGAACTGAAGAAAAAATTCAAGCCTCGAATTGCAATATTGAAGGATTCTACAGGCAAAATACTGAATAATGCAGGAAGTATCAAAAGAAAATGGAAGAAATACACAGTCACTATACCAAAAAGACTTGGTTGGCCTTCAGTGATTTCAGGAGGTAGCACCTGATCAAGAACCAATGGTACTGCAGGAAGAAGTCCAAACTGCATTGAAGGCATTTGCAAAAAACAAAGCTCCAGGAATTGACGGAATACCAATTAAGATGTTTCAACAAAGGGATGCAGTGCTGAAAGTGCTCATTCATCTATGCCAAGAAACTTGGAAGACAGCTACCTGGTCAACCGACTGGAGGAGATCTATATTTATTCCTCTTCCAAAGAAAGGTGATCCAACAGAATGTGGAAATTACTGAACAATATCATTAATGTCATACAATAAGTAAAATTTTGCTGAAGATCATTTAAAAGCAGTTGTAGCAGTACACCAACAGGGAATGTTAGAAATTCAAGCCGGATTCAGAAGAGGATGTGGAATGAGGGACATAACTGCTGATGTCAGATGGATCCTGGCTGAAAGCAGAGAATACCAGAAAGATGTTTAGCTGTGTTTTATTGACTATGCAAAGGCATTCGACTGTGTGGATC